CAACAACAACAACAACAACAACAACAACAACAACAACAACAACAACAACAACAACAACGACAACAACAATTAGTAACAGCAATAACAATAACAACTACAACAACAACGACAACAACAACAATTGTAATAACAACAATAACAATAACAACAACAATAACAATAACAATAACAAAAATGTTAACACTGACAATGCTTTACTTTTTATCAACAAGGATCGTTACGGAAAATAAATGTAGAAAAAGATGTGGATTAATGAAAGATAATGAAAGATTAATGAAAGATACAGTGTAAGAATTTTGCATCAATTAATGAAATAATTAAAATGTGGATGAAAAATTTTCGAAAAAAAGGAAATAAGTAAATTTACAAAAGAAACAATCGATATTTGTATTGCTTTGGTAAATTTGGGTAGCAAATTTTTGATTATATTATTATTCAAATTAAAATTTTGTTTGAATTAATTTTCAAATTTTTAAAAATTTTTAGTTCTTCAATTTTGTAAATTCATAACAAAACTTTTAATATTTTTTAATACTTTCAAGTAATTTGTTCATTTGTTTCATTATTGTCAATTCGCCTTTTTTTTCTTTCTTATAAAATTAAATTTTAAAAAAAATGCAATTTGATCAAGTTTCTATTTGAAATTTCGACACAAATCAAATTCTTTCCACATATTAACAAACTGTAAAGTGTAAAATTCAAATTTAACAAAAATTATAAAATCATAAAGTTTAAAAAATTATAAAAAACTTGTAAGATTTTAAAAAAACATAAAAAGTTATAAAAATTATAAAATTGAAAGAAAAAAACGAAAAATATCTGTTAGTAAAAATTTTCTTATATTTGATAAATGTTAAATCTGACAAATCGAAAAAAAAAAGAAATCTATGATGCCACAAAGCAAATCTTTTGTATATTAATTGCTATTAATTAATTTTAATTTTTACAATGTTTAATTTACTTTCAAAAATAGCCTGTGTAGTTGTAACATTGCCGATGTTGTATTGCATTGGTCAATAGTATTATTGGTCATTACTGTTTTATTTTGATTACTTACCATGTAATCATATCATTTTCGTCACTCATTTGATCTTTGAGCAGTTTCTACTAAAACTTTTTCAAACAATTAATGCTAAATAAAAACAAAAAAAAAAGAAAATTTGATTCAATAAAAATAGAAAAAGCGAATTTTTTTTAAATTTTTTTATTTATTTTTCTTATTATCATTATAATTTATAATTTATTAATGTATTTTAAAGCAATGAAAAGAAACGATAAAAATTCCACATTATATTGCAATTAGATTTAATTACATCAAAGCAATAATATGATTCGATTTAATTAAATTAAATTAATTAAAACAAATCAAAGTAAATATTGAAAGACTATCAGCAATTACTAAAACAAATTGAAATAAAAAAATGGAAGTTAAAAAATATATATTGATATTATTGATTAATTTAATATTCTGATAGAATGAAAGAATTATTTATGATAAGATTAAATTGTTGCATGAAATTAATTACTGATAATTGATATAATCGTTTCTTTTTTTTCTTTTTGTGATCAAATGATTGTAAAAATTAAATTTTTTTTAAAATAAATGAAGATTTTTAGTTGTAATGAATTTGATAATTTCGTAATTTAATTAAAATTTCAATCAATTAAAAAAGACAAATTAACGTTTAGTTATATGCAAGATGTATAATTAAGTTAACGAATCTTCTTTTTTTTATTACAGTAAATAATTATAATGCATTTAATTGCTGCATTATTGATATGAGTATTGTTATTGTTTATACGGTAATGATTATTTATAGATTTTTATAAGAGATAATTGTCGTAATATCATATCATAATGATATTATCATCTCATCATAGTGTCTTATGATATTGATGTTACTATATCACAATATCATATCATGATAATGTTAATTACTATCATAAACATCCCAAGGATTATCCATTTATTTATTTGAACGAATATTTAAATATTTTGATATGTTGCAATTATGCATTTTTGAATAAAAAATAATAACAATAAAAATATTAATAAAAACAATAATAATAATAAAAACAATAATAATAATAATAATAAAAACAATAATAATAATAATAACAACAATAATAACAATAATAATAATAATAATAATAATAATAATAATAATAATAATAATAATAATAATAATAATAATAATAATAATAATAATAATAATAATAATAATAATAATAATAATAATAATAATAATAATAATAATAATAATAATAATAATAATAATAATAATAATAATAATAATAATAATAATAATAATAATAATAATAATAATAATAATAATAATAATAATAATAATAATAATAATAATAATAATAA